TTTTTTTAACCTGGGGGCCCCCCCCTATTTTTTTTTTTTTTTTTTTTTTTTTTAGAGGAAATGCCCTTCTAAAGTTCTTTTTTTAAATAGTTAAAATGGACATTATGAAAGGGTTGACAAGGCTTGGCTCTTACTTTTTCATGCCCTGCATACCCGTACTCCCAAGGGTCTTACGAAAACTTTCGAGGAGCAGGCACAAGTCATTGTCATAGCTCCTTGGTGGCCCAAGAGAGCATGGTTTACTGAGCTTCAGTACGAACTGTTCTCCCACGCAGTTCCAGGGACCAATTCTGCATTCAGCAGTAGAAATACTCAGATCAAGTAAGACGTTTGTTGGAGACCTCTTTTCCAAGATCTCCTGCTCAAAGTTATCTCCACCCTTCAACAGGAAACGTAGGGACTTCAAAAATTTGAGGTCATAGGCTTTACACACCTTCCACTTAGTAGGTCATAATTGACATCTTTATTTTGTAAAACGGCTAACTAGTGGCAGATAAAACAGGCGAGAGGGAGCATTGGGGTGGGGATGCCATTACGCAACCAGCTTCTGGAAAAGAATAAAAAGTAGTTCCTACAGAGAACTTCTTTTAAGGAAATAATCACATCACTTCCCTCAAGATGGCAGCACCCAATTCAACAACTCCCACTAAGCCTGAGAACTAGTAATGGAACAAACACTGCAAGACAGCACAGTGATAACAAAATAGGAATAAAGCACAATGTAACATTTGCTAGTATGCAAAAAAATGTTAGCATAACAAAAAAAACAAAAATACTTTAGTTCTGATCCAACAAGACTTGCACTGAGGAAGCACTAAAGTGATAGAGGCACTTTCCAAGTGTGCAACATTCAGCTGCCCTGCCAGGCAGAAAATAAAAACCAAAAATAGCACAAATAGCAAAAGCCTTTTAGGGCCCTTTCACACAATACCACACACAAAAACTCACCGCAATGCATCAAAAATGCAGTAACATTCATTCTCAAGCACCTTGCATTGTTTTGCGTGCTGGCGTGTGTTTTAATGTCATTCATTGCCAAACATTTTTCAGTCCTATATCCTGAAAGTGTCAAAATAATTTACCACTTTTTTTTCTTTCCTTCAGTAGCTGTGCATTGAGATCACATGCGCATTGTGTTTAAATGCATACATACTATGCATTTTAACACCACTTGCTACAATGCATATCACAGCATTGTGATGTGAAGAAAGCACATGGAAAACCACTGGTTTCTATGTGCCCTTGTAATGACCTGTGTTGATCAGGTATGGAAAAACTAGGTTACTGCACATGGTGTGAATGAACCCTTACAACCCTAAAGAGGATTATTTCTTAGAAGTGTATGTATGGAAAATGTCTGTGTTGCAACACAAAGTAGAGTGGTACCTCTGTTCATGAACGCTTCTGTTCGCAAACAGGAAGTCCAGCAAAATTTTGCTTCTGTTAGCGAACTCCACATCGGGTGACTAACACAACCGCAGCCATCTTCCCTGCTCTGACACGACCTCTAGTCGAGATCGCGGTCTGATCACAGTTTGATTCGGTTTGCAACCAATTCAGTTCACGACCAGAATTGTGGAATGAATTAAGTTCGTGAACCGAGGTACCACTGTAATATTTTCTACTGGGGGTTACAGAATCAAAAAAAGGGGCACCTGGACTTTACTCATTTTCCTTGAAGTCTCCTGGCAAACTTCCACAAATAGAACAAAATGATCACTAAAAGCCAATAAATCACCAGGGCAAGTAGACAGTAGTGAATGGGAGCAGCTGACAGAGGAAGGGAAAAGAATAAAATCTTAAACTTACAGTTTTTCGTTCTCTCTTTGGAGGCGCTGCCTGATTAATCATCACCTGGGCACCGGGCACCCCTGGAGGAAATTGCTGCTGCGCAGGATAATATGCTCCGGCTGAATAAAGAAGTCATTACAGTAAGAAACATACCATAAAATAATCCTGTTATTTGGGAGCAGAATGCACGTCAATCTATTACTAAACTTTAAACTAGGAATTCCCTACTCTGGTCCTTAAGGGCCGAGACCCTTGCAGATTTTTGCTCTTCTAAAAACTTACAGACAGCAGTAAATGAAGGTGCGGTTCACAAGTAAAATGACTGCCTATTCCAAAACCCAGGCCTGCATGCAGTCCTTGAAGGCTAGCGTTAGACATACCTGATCTGGTATAATGTTACAAAATCTACTGCTTTAACCACTTGCCGGCCGGCCGTTGTAAAAAAACAGACTCGTTGTAAAAAGACCGGCTCGGAGGGCGTCAGGAGGAAGAGGAAGGGAGCTCAGCTCTTTGCTGATCTCCCTCCGGGCTGTGAATGCAGAAGTGATGTGTGTTACATCACTTCCGCATTCACCTGTCAGTCATCTGAAAAGAAGCCAGAAGTCACCTGTCAGCCAGAGAAAAGAAGCTGATGAAGCAGATCTCTGCTTCATCAGCTTCTTTTGGGGTCCACAGGTGACATTAGGGGTCCGAGGGACCCCTGTCTCCATAAAGAGGACCTGTCAGTGTGCCTTTGCTATTATATAGGGGGATTGTTATCCCCCTATATAATAGCAATAACAATAGGTGCAAAATATATATATATATATATAAATATATATATATAAA